CTGTTCTGTACTATGTCTGTCTTGAATGTTAATTTGATTGGTCGATTTTTTTCCCCTCGAATACCCCCTACGTCTGTGAATTTTTTTTTACCTGAGACATGTCCTTCCTTCCTGTTACTGCAATGATGTTCTTAATCTCTGTTTCCTCCCAATGCTTTCTTTCATCATAGGTCTGCCCTTCAGCCTCCTGAAGCCCATAAATAATTATTGACCTCTCCCTCTCTTCTTCCCATTTCTTTTCCCTCTGTATCTCTGGATCTGATTTAAGCATCTCCTTTGTTGTTTCCCTTATCTCCCAGACACCCTGATGGCCTGATATTACTGCTGTAAAAGTCTTCTTAGCTCCATCCCCTCCTTCAGCCCCCTCACTGCCTGCTGATGTTCCCATTTCAGTCACCTTGCTTCTTTCGGACCTCATCTTTATATCCTGCCACGGTACATCCATTTCTTCCTCCAGTCCCTGTATCTCTGCCTCAGCTACTACAGCTCATGATTCCCACTTCTTGCTCTCTGCAGATATCTTCTCTAACATATTTCAGAGCTCATTTAACCTTTTGTTCCCATTCTTGTTCCATTTTGTTCTTGAATCGTTCTACCCATTCTTCCTTTTCAGAACAGCCATCCTCGGTTCCCTTGCTTTTGCGCCCTCTCTTTCGAGATCCCCCTTTTTTTTTATCCTGTTAGGATACTTTAGTTCTTTCAGCTTTGTGTAAAAATGTGTGTGTGTGTGTGTGTGTGTGTGTGTGTGTGTGTGTGTGTGTGTGTGTGTGTGTGTGTGGGGTTTATGAGCTAATGTGTTAGGTTAGGTTTGTCTGAGTATGTGTATACTAGTGTGTGTGTATGTGTTTACATGTGTATGTTTCTGTGTGTGTGTGTGTGTGTGTGTGTGTGTGTGTGTGTGTGTGTGTGTGTGTGTGTGTGGTGTGTGTGTGTGTGTGTGTGTGTGTGTGTGCGTGCGTGCGTGCTTGCGTGCGTGTGTGTGTGTGTGTATGTGTGAGTGCGTGCGTGCGTGCGTGCGTGTGTGTGTGTGTGTGTGTGTGTGTGTGTGTGTGTGACAATGAACGATGTGTGTACACTAACAATTGATCTAAGCTAATTAAACGAGGCTCAGAGCCAGACAAACAAGTGCCAATTATACACAGAGGTGATAATTGACCCCACACCTTCACAACACTGTTATAACTGATCCCACACCTTCACAACACTGTTATAATTGATCCCACACCTTCACAACACTGTTATAACTGATCCCACACCTTCACAACACTGTTATAACTGATTCCACACCTTCACAACACTGTTATAACTGATCGCACACCTTCACAACACTGTTATAACTGATCCCACACCTTCACAACAGTCATACTGATCCCCACCTTACAACACGTATAACTGATCCCACACCTTCACAACACTGTTATAATTGATCCCACACCTTCACAACACTGTTATAACTGAATCCACACCTTCACAACATTGTTATAACTGATCCCACACCTTCACAACACTGCTATAACTGATCCCACACCTTCACAACACTGCTATAACTGATCCCACACCTTCACAACACTGTTATAACTGATTCCACACCTTCACAACACTGTTATAACTGATCCCACACCTTCACAACACTGTTATAATTGATCCCACACCTTCACAACACTGTTATAACTGATCCCACACCTTCACAACACTGTTATAATTGATCCCACACCTTCACAACACTGTTATAATTGATCCCACACCTTCACAACACTGTTATAACTGATTCCACACCTTCACAACACTGTTATAATTGATCCCACACCTTCACAACACTGTTATAATTGATCCCACACCTTCACAACACTGTTATAATTGATCCCACACCTTCACAACACTGTTATAATTGATCCCACACCTTCACAACACTGTTATAACTGATTCCACACCTTCACAAACACTGTTATAACTGATCCCACACCTTCACAACACTGTTATAATTGATCCCACACCTTCACAACACTGTTATAATTGATCCCACACCTTCACAACACTGTTATAACTGATCCCACACCTTCACAACACTGTTATAACTGATCCCACTACTTCATAACACTGTTATAACTGATCGCACTACTTCATAACACTGTTATAACTGATCGCACACCTTGACAACGCTGCGGTCAGACGTCACGTGTGGTCACTGTCCTAAGCTGTCTGGGAATTAGCGTGGGGAGTTACTGAGCACAATGGCCTGCTGTAGTGTTTTGGAATCTCAGGTTAAAGTGTTGAAGGAGGAGATTTTACTTCTTCATGAGGAAAATAGGAGGCTGAAACTTCGCCTAGATGGGTTTGGGAGCGAGTGTGAGATAGATGGAGCTGATGGGGAAAAGCATACCAGCAGTGAGATAAAGAGTGGCAGCCACTTTAAGTGGCAAGTGGTTCACAGTTCAGGAAGAAGGAAGATAAGGAAGGTTAATAGAGAAGATGTGAAGGTAGGAAATCGATTCTCTGTTCTCCAGGACGAGTGTACTTCAGTGGTTAGTGAGGCTAAAGGTACCACTGACTCCCCTGCTAATCAAGGCTAGAATATTCTAATTGTAGGAGATTCTCAGGTAAGATATATGGACCATACTTTTTGTAACAGAGATAGGAAGGTCAGACAGAGGGTGTGCCTCCCAGGAGCTGGTGTTGGTAACATAATCAGCAGGTTGGATAATATAATGTCAGGTAATGGGAACAAGCCCATTATCTTAGTGCTAGTGGAAATGACATCAGGAAGGGCACCATCTACCAGTGACTATGACCTCGTTTGCCACCCGTCCCAATCCACCTTAAGTTAGTATATAAGCACCAGGCTCCTTGCTTCTGCTCCAGAATCTACACGACTACGGTGCTCTTCACACCAACTCCAAGGCTGAGGGACTGATTACCTCATCTTTTCTAGTTCTACTGTCTTCTAATTATGTCCTAGAATCTGTATTATAAAGCCACTTGATGGCGAAACGTCTACAATAAAGATACCCAGATGTTGCACATGTGTCTCAGTTTACATATTGTCGGTAATGTGTCAGTTATTTAAGTTCATTATGTATCCACCACTGTGTCATATGATTCACGAAAGATAGTTAAGAATCAAGTATATGTATCAACCCCTGAATCATATGTATCAACCAATGTATATGTAATAACCAATATATATATATATTACGGTGGCCCGTGCCCTGGTAGCAAAAGCTCTCGTTTCACACGCTGAGTGTACGGGTTCGATTTCCGGCAAGGGTAGAAACAGTGGGCGTGTTTCCTTACACCGGTTGTCTATGTTCCCCATCAGTAAAATGGGTACTTAGGTGTTAGTCGACTAGTGTGGGTCGCATCCTGGGACACTGACCTAATTTGCCCGAAATGTTCTGCATAACAAGCGGCTTAGGATGTCATTGATGTCAGCTAGGCCTGTATACCATGTATATGTACTTGTAGAAATAAAGATAATAATATTATTATTATTATTATTATTATTATTATTATTATTATTATTATACGCATTAACCAGTGTACATGTATCAACCACTGCATATGTATCAACCACTGTATACATACCCTATGTATCGTGGTACTCACCTGTACTCGACCCATGTACCCACCTGTACTCTATCCATGCACTCACCTGTATCATATCATGTACTCACCTCTTCACCAGGGACGTGTAAAGAAAGTCCCGAGTACCCGGGCTGCAGAGCATCGCCATACGGTGTAACCCACTCAGACCCGACCTGGCAACACAACACCAATACATTGCAATACCGTGAAGTTATACACTGCAATACAACGCAATAACGTAAGGTTATACACTGCAATATAATTCCATACCTTAAGGTTATACACTGAAATACATCGCAATACGGTAATACACTTAAATAGATCACAATACAGTAAGATGTATACTGAGCTTCAACGCGTTACAGTAAGGTAAGTACACTTAAATACAACACAATACAATAAGATACAGATTGAAATACAACACAATACAGTAAGATACAGAGGTAAATATAATACAATAAGGTGCAGAGTGACATATAATACAGTAAGGTACTGAGTGAAATACAACACACTACAATAAGATACAGCGTGAAATACAATACAAGACAGTAAGATATAGAATGAAATACAATAATATACAGAGTGAAATACAACATAATAGAATAAGATACATTAAAATACAATAAGGTACAGAGTGAAATACAACACAATACAATAAGATACAGTAAAATACAATAAGGTATAGAGTGAAATACAACACAGTACAATAAGATATATAGGGAAATACAATACAAGACAGTAAGATATAGAATGAAATACAATAATATACAGAGTGAAATACAACATAATAGAATAAGATACAGAGTGAAATACAATACGATACAATACAATAAGATGCAGAGTGAAATACAATACGATACAATACAATAAGATACAGAGTGAAATATAACATAATACAATAAGATACAGTAAAATACAATAAGGTACAGAGTGAAATACAACACAATACAATAAGATACAGTAAAATACAATAAGGTATAGAGTGAAATACAACACAGTACAATAAGATATATAGGGAAATACAATACAATACAGTAAGATACAGTGCGAAATACAACACAATATCAGGATCGTGTGGTTTAAATACCTAGTATGTGTATGGTGCGCCAAACCCGTATAAGTTTAGCTGTGGTCAGTAATAGTTGTTATTAGTGAATTCGAAAGGGGGAGAGGGGAAGCACCAAACCCGTGGGGGATCATACAGGTCCTGAGAATCTAGGAGACAGTCAGGTTTTGATCCGAGGGAATAGGGGTGACTCCAGGTGCTTAGATCAAGAGCTCTGATCAGCCCGGTTCTTGGTGTTCAGTGATCGTGGTCTTGTCAAATGCCTTCTTGCAGTCCAGCAGTGTGCAGGTCACCCAGCCATCTCTCACCTGTCGTTGACCTGCAGCAGGTTTGTGAGCCACATGTGCGACACTCAGGTACCTTTACTGGTGAAGGTTTCCAAAGGTTTGCTGATTATGTTTATAGGTTTACACAGTGTTTGTGATCTCTTTGCCGGAGCCCAGTGTGATACACTGCCTGGTCCCGTTGCTTTCAACTTGTCCGCTGTGTTTTGCAGCTTCTTCTTACTCTGTTGCACAGAAATTCTCTGCTGTTCTGTTTTTCTTATCTGCAGTCTAGCACTGGCCTTCATTCCTGCATGTATTTGTAAAGTTTCCCACGGGCAGTTTTATCTCTGTTTTTTCCCCTCTCCTTAAGCACTGTCAGTTGGTACGTTGCTCTCAGTTTCTATCAGATGTGGATGTGTAGCAGCATCATTGACGACTGTGTTGTGTGTGTGTGTGTGTGTGTGTGTGTGTGTGTGTGTGTGTGTGTGGTGTGTGTGTGTGTGTGTGTGTGTGTGTGTATGTATGTGTGTGTGTGTGTATGTGTGTGTGTCATAGAGCTACGACTACCATCGTCACTACATCTACACACCTACCTGGGTTCCCTCAATGAACCACTGTAAGGTAGGAGTGTGGCCGTCGTACAGAGGCTGTTTAGGTTGGCAACCGATCTTGATGCGCTCCGTTGGTTCATAGATCTCCCTGGCTCCCACCAGCACTGGCGGAGACAGTGTATCCCCTGGGGACCAAGGCAGAAAAAAGTCACACTTTCAGTTGTCTCCAAATTACAATTGTCATGTTATTGTTTATTTAGATATAAAAACCTCACCATTTTTGATTCGTTAAAGTTACATGTAACTTGTTCCCCCACCAGTCAAGAATATTTAATACCTTAAAAAATAATTATACACCATGAGGTATATTCCTCTCAGTTTATATATACTCTTGACTTACTAATGAACGAGAGGTGAGTTATGAGACCCTATGTACTAGGTCTGCGTAGTACACAGAGATACTAACACCGTAATATTTACATATATAAACATCTGTCATTTACACACATGCTGACATCATCATCTCGGCCGCCAAGGATGATGCAAAACTTACAATAATTAAAACTAACGAAGAAACTGGAAACTACGACACGACTGTGTTATGGAGGAACTACGACACGGCTGCGTTACGGAGGAACTATGACACGGCTGCGTTACGGAGGAACTATGACACGGCTGCGTTACGGAGGAACTACGACACGGCTGCGTTACGGAGGAACTACGACACGGCTGCGTTACGGAGGAAATCCGGAGGATGTGTGTAGACTACTGTGTTCCGTAACTCTGGTAAATATCTTACACTGGGTCACTCTCAAGATCACTGACTGGAAAATATCTTACACTGGGTCACTCTCAAGATAACTGACTTGTGAATATCTTACACTGGGTCACTCTCAAGTTCACTGACTGGTGAATATCTTACACTGGGTCACTCTCAAGTTCACTGACTGGTGAATATCTTACACTGGGTCACTCTCAAGATAACTGACTGGTAAATATCTTACACTGGGTCACTCTCGAGATCACTGACTGGTGAATATCTTACACTGGGTCACTCTCAAGTTCACTGACTGGTGAATATCTTACACTGGGTCACTCTCAAGATCACTGACTGGTAAATATCGTACACTGGGTCACTCTCAAGATCACTGACTGGTGAGTATCTTACACTGGGTCACTCTCAAGATCACTGACTGGTGAATATTTTACACTGGGTCACTCTCAAGATAACTGACTGTAAATATCTTACACTGGGTCACTCTCAAAATCACTGACGGGTAAATATCTTACACTGGATCACCCTCAAGGTCACTGATTGGTAAATATCTTACACTGGGTCACTCTCAAGATCACTGACTGGTAAATATCTTACACTGGGTCACTCTCAAGCTCACTGACTGGTAAATATTTTACACTGGGTCACTTTCAAGATCACTGACTGGTGAATATGTTACACTGAGTCACTCTCAAGATAACTGACTGGTAAATATCTTACACTGGGTCACTCTCAAGATCATTAACTGGTAAATATCTTACACTGAGTCACTTTCAAGATAACTGACTGGTGAATACCTTACACTGAGTCACTCTCAAGATAACTGACTGGTAAATATCTTACACTGGGTCACTATCAAGATAACTGACTGGTAAATATCTTACACTGGGTCACTCTCAAGATAACTGACTGGTAAATATCTTACACTGGGTCACTCTCCAGATCACTGACTGGTGAATATATTACACTAGGTCACTCTCAAGATAACTGACTAGTAAATATCTTACACTGGGTCACTCTCAAGGTCACTGACTTGTGAATATCTTACACTGGGTCACTCTCAAGATAACTGACTGGTAAATATCTTACACTGGGTCACTCTCAAGATAACTGACTGGTAAATATCTTACACTGGGTCACTCTCAAGATCATTAACTGGTAAATATCTTACACTGAGTCACTTTCAAGATAACTGACTGGTGAATACCTTACACTGAGTCACTCTCAAGATAACTGACTTGTGAATATCTTACACTGGGTCACTCTCAAGATAACTGAATAGTAAATATCTTACACTGGGTCACTCTCAAAATCACTGACTGGTAAATATCTTACACTGGGTCACTCTCAAGATAACTGACTGGTAAATATCTTACACTGAGTCACTTTCAAGATAACTGACTGTGGCATGCAAAGAGTACGTAACCTTTATTCGGCGCATGTACACACCCTCATTTACAGGCTATCTCCCCCAACCAGCGAACCAGGTTGCTAAGAGTTGATGATGGGGCCCCGTCGTTCAACTAGTGACCAGGTTCAAGCCAATAAGAAGATGGTTTTGGCAATCGCAGAGGTTATGTGGGTACCACTCTCCTGTCTGCCTTTGTCATTCCCATTCTAGAGCTGGTTGAAGCACGATCTGCTATCTTGTGGCTTCTATTTCTGCCTTGCTTACCGTGAAGTGCACTATACTTATCACTGTACATAGTGTACATATTGCTGTTCTAAATTGGTAAAGGATAATATAAGTCTAAACTTTTTCTGCTGTGTTTATTTTGCTCCCATTACACCCGGGATAACAGGCCATTTGGAATCCTGGGTTGTAATATGGGGGCCTGTCCGGGATCTGGAGCTGGACTTAGAGAAACGGTTGAGCTTAGGGTGAAGCTCGTAGCAGGAACATTGTGCAGCTTGCTGTCTGGCATTGCATTAGCTTTGCCTACGCTTTACAAATTTTGCGTGTCAGTTGCTTTATGGTCAGCCTTGCTATTGTGTGATCGTTCAACAGCTCGCTACTAGCTTGTTCGGTGTGCTCGCTTTGCTACGGTCAATCTTCTAGAACAGTGTAGCTGTCTGGCATTGCTTTACAAATTTTGCATGTCAGTTGTTACTTACCTGTTCGGTGTGGAGAATTTTGCAGTCGGCTTTGCTTGTATGCATATTCTGCAATCGTACTGTGCATAGCTAAGCGTGTTCTGCAAATTAACATGTTACGTTGGGGTATTCTGCAATCGTACTGTGCATAGCGAATAACTTATGCCACCTAGACGAGTCAGACGTCTGGTGTCGGCATATACTTTGCATAACCTACCTAAATTGTCCCTACAGCATTGTTGGAAAATTGCTCGTTCCATTGGCATTAAATACAAACGCACTCTCACAGCTGCGCAACTGTGTTCACTGATTGCTGACAAACTTATAGAAGAAGAGATGGCACATCAGACTCCTCCCTCTATGGGAGCTAGGGCAAAAATTACTATGTTCTCGCAGGAGGAAGATGATACACCTACGGAGCAAAATGGTCAGTATAGTGCAGCTGGGTTGTCTCAAGGTGAATCAGCGTCGTTGGCACTTGAGCTGGCAAAAATCAATCTTGAGCAAACTAGAGAACAGAGAGCATTCGCAAGGGAAGAATTTGATAGGGAAAGAGAAAGGAGGCAGTTTTTGCATTCTGTAAATGATTTTAGTTTACAGAAAGCAGTACAGCTTGTTCCTCGCTTCAATGAGGCCGAACCAGAACAATTTTTCGAAAGCTTCGAAAATCAGGCTCGAGCCTTGAGGTGGCCGGAACAGCATTGGGCATCGTTGGTTCATACAGCATTTTTGGGTAAGGCACAGGAATTTACGTCAGTATTAAATGACGCTGAATTTTCTGATTATCAAGTAGTGAAGACCACAGTGTTGGGAGCATATACATGTATCCCAGCCAAATACCGTAAGCTTTTTAAATTAAGCAGGCGGCAGCTTGGTCAATCCCTAGTGGACTTTGTGAGACAGCAAACCAAAGCTTTTACCAGCTGGTATAAAGCAAGTGGTGTCTCTACCTTTGAGGAGCTGGTACAGCTTATTCTGATTGATAACCTGCTGGAGTCTGTGGGATCAGAGGTTCGAGTCTTTCTGCAGGATCGTGACTTAACCACTGCATTGGAGGCAGCCAGGTTGGTTGATACCTTCGAAACTAACCGCTCCTTGTCCGAGCGGTCCCGTCTCTCTTTTCAACAGCCTGTCATGAGCAGAGATCGTCAACCTTGGAGAATGAAGTGCCACCCGGAGGGAGAACGTCTACGTCAGCCAACTAAGTTACCTGGTGAGCCACGCTTCTCAACTTATGGTCCACCTGCGGAGAGGCAAACTACTCATGGTGCATCTCGACAACAGTATCCAGAGAGACACCAGCCAGAACGACACCATTTGCAACGTCAGCAGGGAGTAAAGGGAAAGCCTGTCGTCTGCTTCCTTTGTAACAAAGTAGGTCATATCCGTCCCAACTGCCCCCACAAACCCCAACCCATTGGGAAAATCTCTAATATCCCTAGTAACATGTCCCCTAGAGAAGTAGAAAAGGTATTATTGCAAGAGTCTTATTTCCCTTCAAGAAAACTCTGAAACAACTGAAGTAAAGACCTTTAGAGATACTGGAGCATATTGCTCACTTGTAAGAGAAGGAATATTACCCCTTTTAGAGAACACTTCCTTGAATTCCTGTTTTATTGGAAGCATTTGGAGGAGCTATATATTCTGTCCCTTTGCATAAAATTTATGTACAGTGCAAATATTACACTGGGTACTTGACTGTAGGTGTCTCAAAAGGATTCCCCATGAAAGATGCCATGTTATTACTGGGTAATAACATTACTACTGTTAATGCGTGTCCTGAACCTATAATGAGTAATTCTTCTCCGGTATTGGCCATAACTCGGGCAACATCCCAAGGGTTGTCTGGAGAGAATGTTGACCTATCCTTGGACGATTCCGATCTCTGAATAGCCACGTTGTTTTATGAGGCACACCGGCCGGAGCCTCGTAAATCAAGTGAACAGACCCCGATCAAGCCTTCCTATTCCCAGGTTGCAGGATTGCCAGATGTCTCTGTTTCCATGCCCGAGGGACTGTCCTTCCGGGAGGAACAACGAAAGGACCCTTCTTTAAAATTCGTTTTTCAGGCAGCCATGGGTAAATCCTCTTTGGGTCATCCGGTCAAGTATGAAGTTAAAAACGATTATCTGATCTGCACTGAGACTGGTAAGGAGATAGAGGGCCGGTAATTGTATGACAGGTTAGTGGTTCCAACCAAGTTTAGACCTCAAATATTAAATATAGCTCATAATACTTCATTAGGAGGTCACTTAGGAATTACTAAAACCTTGTATAGAATCACAAAAGAATTTTATTGGCCAAAATTAAAGAAAG